AGGACCTGATCAGCTTCCTGGACATCATGGTGACCGGAGCCCCCCCCGGCTGACCTTTGACCCCCGGCCTGTGACCTTTGACCCCTCTGTCTGCTGTTCCAGGGGCTGCCGCAGGTCACCCTGGTGGGTCACGACTGGGGAGGTGCACTGGTGTGGAACATGGCCCAGTTCCACCCTGTTAGAGTCAGGTACACACACACACACACACACACAGACACACACACACACACACACACACACAGGGACAGACACACACATATACACACAGACAGACAGTCATACAAAGACACAGACACACAAACACAGGGACAGACAGACACACATAGGGACAGCCAGACACAAACACACAGACACACACACACAGGGACAGACGGACACACACACACACACACACACACACAGGGACAGACACACACAGGGACAGCCAAACACAAACACACAGACACACACACACACACACAGGGACAGACGGACACACACACACACACACACACACAGGGACAAACACACATACACACACAGGGACAAACACACATACACACACAGGGACAAACACACACACACCGGGACAGACAGACAGACACAAACACACAGGGACAGACAGACACACACACAAACACACACACAGGGACAGACAGACACACACAGGGACAGCCAGACACACACACACACACACACACACGGGGACCTGTGGGCTGTGACGTGTGTTTTTCTGTCCCTGTGAAGAGCCGTGGCCTCTCTGAACACCCCCCTGTTCCCCGCGGATCCTTTGGTTCCTCCCTCAGAGAAAATCAAGGCTCTTCCCATCTTCGACTACCAGCTCTACTTCCAAAAACCTGTGAGTTACAGCCTCTGGCATCACTCTCAATATGAGAATCAGCTCAAACTAGTCAGAGAACAGTGAGAACCTCAGAGATGTTACTGATCTTCCTTAAACCAGCATTTTTAACACCGTTTAAGACCTTAAAGTTCATAGACCTCATGCCTTTTTGTGTGCATGTAAATGAGCAGATGTAAGGAGTCTTTAGGAGAGAAAACAGTACCCCAGAAGATAAAAGATCAAACTGCAGCTCGTCTACACAACATTAAAACTCTGCACAAGCTCCTGAGGCTTTTCATTTCCTCTTTTTAAAGACAACAACGTGTAAATGTCTGAAAACAGTTGGATTAGAAACAAAGCTCCTCTCATTTTCACGGCTTTTCGTCAAAGAGACTTCTTCCAAAAATGTGGGTTTTTATTTCTAACCCAGGGGGAAATTATACTGATCACACAAACAAAACAAAACTCACCTACCAAAGGTTCATTCCCTGCATGGCGAGTTAACTAAAGAACAAAAACACCAACTACTAGACCTCACTGTGCTGTTAAATAAGTAAAAAAGAAACTCAACACTAAACATTAGAGTTCAAACCTGCAACCAAAACCAAAGATAGCTCCAGTACGCGAAGGAAATGCAAATAAACAAACCTCCCCCCTTTACCAGGAGTTGGTACGGTCCAGTTGGCCCTTTAGGGGTCAGCTCCTGTCAGTGTTTCTGCGTTTCAGGGCGTCGCGGAGGCGGAGCTGGAGAAGGATCTGGAGAGAACCTTTAAGATCTTCTTTTCCCGCAGCAGTGAGGCGGTGAGTATTTCCGTATTTCCCTCCCGGATCCGGATCGCTCTGTGGAGCTCTCACGGGTTTCTCCTGTGTGTCTCAGGCCGGCCGTCCTGCTGTCAGCACCGCGGGGGTCTGCGCCCGAGGTCAGATGTCCAGTTTCCTGAACCCTCCTGAACTCTCCTGAGCTCTTCCAGCTCTCCCTTATCTTCATGCTCTGGTCTCCCCCCCCCCAGGCGGCCTGTTCGCGGGGCTACCGGAGCAGATCCCCCGCAGCTCCATGCTGACCGAGGCTGACCTGAAATATTATGTGAGCCAGTTCAAACGCAGCGGCTTCAGGTGAGGCACATTTTTGGACCATTTCAGTCACTGTGACTCTTTGTTTTGAAGCCAAATCTTTCTTTTTTTAATATTAAATACTTGGATTTTAAGATTTATCACCACAAGCTCCATTCCTGACATTTTGTGAACCACACATACGTGATTTCATGACATAACCAGCTCAGTTTGGGCTAAAAGAACAGCACCGAATCCTTGGATCGGAGCAAAAGTCTTCTCTCCTTCTGTCTTTTTTCACAGAGGGCCGTTGAACTGGTACCGGAACAGCAACGCCGACTGGAAGTGGATGTGTTCCCAGTCCAAGGGGAAGGTTTGTAACAGGGTCGTCTGGCTCGTCTCTGAGCCATAATCAGTGCAACAGGAACCCAGACTCTGAGCCGAAAAGCAGGAAAAGGATCCACGCTTCGTCCTTAACTCATTGACTGGCAGCCATTTTCAGAACAGAGAGTCCCATACTGCCAAAGTTTTCTGAGCATTTTGACTGATTTTTCAAGAGCCACAGAATAGTTTGTGCTATGACTATGTAAACACCAAACACACCAAAAGAAAGAGTAGACTCTCTTCTTTCATCGGGAAAAAAAATGTGTTTCTACCTTATTCCGTTCTTCCTGGACTTGCGTCTCACCGGCGACATGTTCTCTCATAGAACCGTTACCTTTTTCTTATTTGCCTACAGTCTAAGCTCATCTCCCATCAAAAGTGGCACTGCCCCCTAGAGGGTCAATTTGTTACTACATACTCTGTCTAGAAGCCCATATTTACGGACAAGCTTTAGCAGATCGTCCCCCAGCCACTCTCGTTGAAAAACATAAAAGACGTCTATAGACGTCTTTGGCAACCAATGAGTTAACCCTTTAGTTCTGACCTCTGAGGCCCGTTTGCAGCTCTAACAGAAACCTGTGTTTTAGCTCCTGATGCCGGCGCTGATGGTGACGGCGGGGAAAGACCCGGTTCTCCTGCCCGTCATGTCTCAGGGCATGGAGCAGATGGTAGGAAACCCGGCGCCCACAGCCTCTAACCAGGACCCCTCAGACACTGACCTGCTCACCTATCACGCAGATCCCAAACCTGAGCAGAGCGCACATCGAGGAGTGTGGACACTGGACTCAGATGGACCAGCCCGCCGAGACCAACAGGATCCTGCTGTCCTGGCTTAAGGAAGTTCACGAGACGAATGGAGGAGTAACCGTGGCCCCCAAGCTGTGAGCGAGGAGGAGGAAAGGCTGGCCTTCAACAAACAGAGCGATTTAATCAATTAAAACAAACTAATGTCCACAGATTTAGGTTTGATCTAACCAAAACTGGGTGATTTTCCAAATGTTGTGAGCCAGAAAAATACAACTGAGCTGCATTTTGATGGAAACTGAAATTAAATCTATAACAAGCTGTTGTT